GGCCCGTGGAGAGGGAGCTCGGAGGGAGGGCTGATTGCAGCTTCGCGGGCGCGTCTGGGGTTCACGCTGGTCTTCCTCCTCCTCCTCCTCCTCCTCCTCCTCCTCCTCCTCCTCCTCCTCCTCCTCCTCCTCCCCCTCCCTGGTCTATGGTTTCACGACGGGGGCCCCCTCCCAGGACCAGCTGGTCGTCGCCGGAAGTGCCTTCGGGTCCCAGAGGCCTGGGCGCGCCTGCTGGAGGCCCGAACTGGCGAACGGGACGCACGCTGCGGGTTCTTCGAGGTCTGAGTCGTGATTCCCAGCAGGAGGAGCAGGAGGAGGAGAAGGGAACGAGGAGGAGGAGGGGGATGAAGCGGAGGAGGAGGAGGAGGACGAGAAGGAGGAGGATGAGGAGGGGGAGGAGGAGGATGAGGAGGAGGAGGAGGAGGAGGAGGATCAGGAGGTCCGTAGCCAGTGTGGCGTAAGGGAAACGTAGCGAAGCTTAATAACAAAGCGAATCCAAGTTTCATGTGGCATGCGTCCGTAGCTGGCTCGATTGCGGACCTGCAGCGGCACTGGTCACCATTCCTCGGCTCTGACTGCTAGTGACAATCCGCGGTTGGCGGATTATCCTTAGGTTTTTGCAGAATTTGGGTTTCTTGGGAGGCTCATGGTGGCTCCGAGAGCGCTTGAAACCATCTTGTGGCCCTCGTCGGGCCTCTTGGAGGTATGCCGGAAGCTATCCAGCTGCCTGCGGCGAGTCCCGCCACTGTGCCAGCCCAGCATGCTCGGCGGCCCTCCTCTGAAGGGGCACCGGTGGCCGTATCTGAGAGGCGTGATCATGATGATGATGCTGCTGATGATGATGATGATGTTAATGATGGTGCTGAAACTGATGCTATTGATGATGATTATGATGATGCTGATGATGATGCTGGTAATGAGAATGATGATGATGATGCTGGTGGTGTTAATGATTAGGATGCTGATGATGACGATTATGATGTTGATGCTGGTGATGGTGATGGTGACGGTGATGGTGATCATGATGATGATGATGATGATGATGATGATGATGATGATGATGAGATGATGATGATGATGATGTCGAGGAGGATTGAGATTATGAGGATGATGAGGATACAGGTCATGATGCTTCTGATGATGGCTATGATAGTGATGATGAGATGATGGTGACGGATGGTGGTGATGATGGTGATGCCGATGATCACGATGATGATGATGATGATGATGATGATGATGATGATGATGATGATGATGATAATGATGATGATGATGGTGGTGGTGGTGCTGATGATGATGATGATGATGATGATGATGCAGATGATGGTTATGATGATGATGATGATGATGATGACGAGAAGGAGGAGGAGGAGGAGGAGGAGGAGCTTGTTGGTGGCGGTGGTGGTGGTTGTGGTGGTGGTGATGATGATGGCGATGATGATAAAGATGAGGATGATGGTGATGGTGATGATGATGATGATGATGATGATGATGATGATGCTGATGATGATGATGATGGTGGTGGTGGTGACGGTGATGTTGATGATGATGACGATGATGATGATTATTATGATGATGATGGTGGTGATGGTGGTGATGATCATGCTGCTGCTGGTGATGATGATGATGATGATGATGATGATGATGATGATGATGATGATCAGGATGATGATCAGGATGAGGATGATGATGCTGCTGCTGCTGATGATCATGATGATCATGATGATCATGATGATCATGATGATCATGATGATCATGATGATCATGCTGATCATGATGATCATGATGACGACGACCGTCGGAATATCGTGGGATACCTCTTGGGGACATCTTCTAGAGGCCCCTGGGGGCGGAAGGCTCGGATTTTCGATTGGGATTCCCTCTCTGGGGCCCCTTTTGGAGCAGTCTTGGGGCCCTCTTGAGCCGTCTTGTGCGCCTCTCGGGCCGTTTCGGGGCTTGCGGGGGGGCGCTCGGTGGCCCGCAATGGTGGTACGGAGGTGGCTCTCGATAGGATGGGCTGGTCTGGGATCCCCCCTGAGGTTTGGGGCGGTGGGGCTGTGTGGATCTGGGCCATACGCTTTTGCTCTACGTGTGTGGGTTGGCGCTTGCATGACTTGTTCTTTGGGTTGTCCCCTGGGGTTAGGTGTTTTTTGCCGAGTGGTTGATTTGGTGGGTGTGTTTGTTTGTGTCTTGACAGTTGTTTTTTGTAACTAGTGATTTTGTTTGTGTGTTTTCTGTGTTTTTGTTAGGCTAGGGGACCCTCTTGGAGGCCTCTTGGGCCGTCATGGGGCGGTCTTGGGGGCCTCTTCTCTTGGGCCGTCTTGGAGCTTCGGAAAGCCGAACAAGCGAGAACGCCAAACTCCTTCAAACATGCAATGGACATCAATGATGTTTGTCTTTGGGGGCCCTCTTGGGAGGCCTCTTGGAGGCTTCTTGGGGCGCCTTGGAAGCTTCTTGCGCCATTTTGAAGCCATCTTGGGCGTTTTCGAGCGATCGTTCGGCGACTCGGGGCCCCCTTGGGCCATCTTCGGGGACTCCCAGGCCGTCATGGAAGCATTGGAGAGCCCCGGGAGGCGCCATGGCCGCCCAGGGGCCCTCCGGGAGTATGGCTGGTGTGCGCGACGAGGTGCGACCCAGAGGGGGGGGTCCCTTGGAAGATTACAGAAACTTTACCAGACAGCACTTGGCATTCTACCACGCCTCCTCGTGCAAGGGGGCACGGTGGCGGATCTTGGACCATCGTCGGCTATCTTGAGCCATCTTGGAGGCCATCCTGGAGCACCCGAGGCCCTCTCGGAGCCATCTTGGGGCTCTTTTGGAGGATCTTGGGGTCCTCTTGGCGGTTTTTTGGGGGTCTCGGGACCCTCTTTGGGCCCTCTTGGAGCCCTCTTGGGGGTCCCTTGGGAGCCCTGGAGGGCCTCTCGGGGCCATCTTGGAGGCCATCGATCAAAAGTGGGGGTCCTCGAGTTGCCTCCCCCCCCGGGGCCGTCAAAATTGCCAAAGGGGGCGCACAACCTGAGTGAAGTCAATGATTTTGGCTTTGTCGCCAAGGCCACCCTCACACTCCGCGAAACCTTCCGAACAAACCAGGCAGGGGGAGGGGAGGTACACCTCCCAGAAAGGAAGAGGTTTCTGGAAGAGGAAAGAAGTATGTCGCACGACCACCTTAGCACAAAGGGCTGCCGGGATTCCGATTGCCGCGGGAGGAGGGTGCAGTTCTGCAGTGATAGCCGTTTCGAAGTTCACTCCATAAATGTTCGCGCACACCCGTGGCGTTTTCGCCGACGAAGGCCTTTCAGGGGTGACGTTCAATCAAGTGCTCGGCCACTCCTCGCGTGATGACGTCCGCGATGGGCGCATCTCGGAGTTTGAGAGGGCCCGCAACGCTGAAGTGGACAGGCTAGCCAAACAGGCAGCGACGTTGAGATGGGTCTCCCCTGGCGTATTGTGGCTGACCCGTCGGGCTCTCCCTTTCTTCCTTCCTTTCTTTTTCTCTCTCCCTCTCTTTCTCTCTTTATCTCTTTCTCCCTCTCTTTCTGCCTCTCTCTCTCTCTCCCTCTCTCTCTACTCTCATTCAAAGGCGTGCATTCCTTTCTCTCCTCCCCCCTCTCCCCTCTTACCTCTTACCCTTCCCCCGTTCGCCCCTTTCCGCTTCTCCCTCCCCCATCCCCTCCTCATCCCCCCGCCCCCCTTCTTGCGCTCCTCTTCCCTCGTTCCTCCCCCTCCACCCTTTGTGCTCTTCCTCCTCCCCTCCCCGTCCGCCTCCTCCTCACCCTCCTGCCCCTCTCTCCCTCGGCGTCGTCATCGTCGTCACCGCCGACATCAACAACATCATCACCACTGTAATAAGCATCATCATCATAATCATCATAATCATCATAATCATCATCATCAGCATCACCATCATCACCATCATAATCATCCCCGTCATTAACATCAGCATCATCATTAGCCTCATCATCATACTCATCATGCTCATCATCACCATTGCCATCGTCATCGTCATTACAATGATGTTTGCCGTCGGCATTGTCATCATCATCACTGCCATCGGATATCGTCATCATTCAAACTCATCATGCTCATCGCCACCGTTCTCATAATCAAAATCATAATCAGCATCATCATCACCATCATCACCATCATCATCAGCACCATCCTCATCAGACTCATCATCAGCATCATCATCATCTTCATCGCCATCATCGTCGTTATCATACTCATAACCATCATCTCCTTTATCATCATACTACTAATCAGCATCGCCATCAGCGTCATCGTCGTCATCTCCATCATCATCCTCGTCGTCGTTGTCGTCGTCATCATCATCACCATCACCATCACCACCATCACCACCGTCATCACTATCATCATCATCACCAGCATCACTATCATCACCACCATCACCATCATCACCATCATCTTCACCATCGCCATCAACACCACCACTAGCAGCATCACGACCACCATCACTATCACCATCACTATCACCATCACTATCATCACCACCATCATTAGCATTAGCATCATCATCATCATCGTCGCTGCCGTCACCATCACTATCATCACCATCATCACCACCACCATCGTCATCAGCACCATCATCACCATCATCATCATCAGCAGCATTACCACCACCATCACCATCACCACCACCACCATCACCATACCATCACCACCACCACCACGATCATTATCAGCATTATCATCATCATCACAACCATCATCATCATTGACATCATCAACATCACCTTCCACCATCATCATCATCATCACCACCATCATCACCATCACAATGACCACCATCACCATACCATCACCACCACCACCACCGTCACCATCATTATTACCATCATCATCACCACCATCATCATCATCATCATCATCCTCGTCGTCGTCGTCGTCGTCGTCATCATCATCATCATCACAACCATCAGCATCACCATCACCATCATCATCATCAGCATCAGTCTCAGCATTGTCCTTGCCTCGAAGCCGAGGCCTCAACCACGCGAAGCTCGGCTGCGCCAGGTCACGGGACCGCTACATCAAGACGTATCCGCAGGATTGGCTTCGGGGGCGCTTGCGCTTTTTGCGTGGGGTCAGGTGTTTTGGTTCTGGTTTTTTTGTTTTTGAGGGTATTGCTTTTTTTTATTCTTCTTTTTTTTTTTTTTGTTTTTTTTTTTCTTTATTTTAATCTTTTTTGTCTATCTTCGTTTTGTTCTTTTTTTTTCTCTTGTTGTTTTTTGTTCTGTTCTTTATTTTGTTTTTTTTTTTTTATTTTCTTTTTTGCTGCGAGGGGTGGGCGTGTTGGTTGGCGATGGGGGGGGAGGCAGGGAAGGGACAGGAGGGAGACGGAGAGGGAGAGGGAGAGGGAGAGGAGAGATAGAGGGAGAGGAGATGGGGAGGTGGAGAAGGAGCGGTAGGAGCAGGAGGATGGAGGAGGAGGAGGAGGGGGAAGGAGGCTGGACGCAGTCGGATGTGGAGGAGGAGGAGGAGGAGGAGGAAGGAGGAGGAGGAGGAGGAGGAAGTGGAGGAGGAGGAGGGGGAGGAGGAGGAGGCGGCGCAGCTCATGAGGGAGCTCGGCTGCCGAGGCCCCGCGGGCATTCTCGAACCGTTTGGGAGTACCCTGCGCGAGGCAGGCCAGCTCCTCGGCCCTGGTCGCAAGGCCTCAGCGGAGGAGGCTCGGCGGGAGCTCATTGTGCGCCGTGCCCCTGATCTGGCCAAGCGGTGGGTCAGCGCGCGGGCAGGGCGCAGGGCTGCGGCACTGCGGCACATCCCGGACCCACGGTCTGCGCGGAGGTTCGTGATGCTGCTCGCAGGCGGTCGGCACGGCGGGAAGCTGGCAGACACTGGACCCCTGGAGTCACCACCCACCAAACCACCCCAACCCAACCCGAAGGCCTAAATTTGCCTTCCATTTCCAGTTGGGGGGGTCGGGAAACGTCGAAAAAACACATGTGGAACCCTTACCCCCCCCAACCCGAAATCTGGGTCTTCGGGTTGGGTTGGGGTGGTCTGGTAGGTAGTCATGGAGGTGTCTGCTTCTTCGGGCTCTGAGCCCGATGCGAAGGTGGAGCCGCACAAGATGAGGCGGACCTTCCAGAATGTGTGCACCATGTCGAGCGGCGGCGGCGAATACGTCGAAGAGCGCTTGAATGACATTGAGGGCTTGGTCATCCAGCTTCGTGCGGACTTGCTGCAGCAGGTGGCCGTGGCAGACAGCTACACCAGCCAGCAGGAGGCGCACACACTCATGCTCAAGGAGGTCGCGAAGAAGGAGCAGGACTGGGACGCAAAGGAGCAGTCTTTCCTGACCCAACTTGCGACACCCAGCGAGCAGCAGCAGGATGCGAAGGAGGAGCGTGCTGCACTCAAGATCCCCGTCACCAGGCAGGAGCAGGCCACGCAGTCGCTCACGGAGGACGGAGATGCCAAGCAGCAGCCGTTATTGTCGGAGCTCACCACGCTTGGTGAGCAGCTGCACACCGCAGTCAAGGATATGTTTGCGCAGGCAGCTCTCACCTCGAAGCAGGAGGCGTGCGAAGGCGAGTCGCAGATTGATTCTGCATACGAAGAGTGCGCAGTGGCATTTAGACATCTAGAGTCCAAGCAGCTCAGACAGCAGGTGCAAGAGGTGGCCACACTTGGAGCTACTGCCCGTGATTTGGAGTCGCAAAGGGAGCAGCTCCATTTTAACAATCAGTCGAACAGTTTGGCTTCGGATTGTACGCGTAGTGGGTGTAGCTGTGCATCCACGCTTGCTGATTCAAAGAGCGATGCCAGACGCAGCAGATTCTTGTCTGGCTGGCAGGGGTGATCCCTCGTCCAATCCCCTGTCTATAGGGTCTGTAACCCCAGCAGAGTAGCTAGCCGAGGTCTCCAGCTCACGGCACTCACACTCCCACACCCTCCCAGTCCCTTCCCTTTTGCCCACGCTTATTGTGCGGATCTTACACAAATCCTCGATCTGCGACCGCGTGGGTGGCAATGCCCAGCACGAGCGCTGATTGTTCGCATGCCGTTCAACGCGTAAACTGACGCCATGGGTCAGAGATGCTGGAGAAAATGCCCCATCGGGCGCGCGTGGGCCGCATTGGGGGGCGGGATGGGGGCGGGAGGAGGGTCCAGGGGCAGGAGAGGGGACAGCGTGCCGCGGAGGGGTCCTAGCGTGACGCGGGTCTGTTGGTCACGCCGCCGGCGGGGGCGCCCAGTCCGCGGGCGGCAGGGGCGGCGTAGGCAGGGGCCCCAAATCCCAAGGCTGGACCTAAACGGTGCTTTTTGTGATTTCGTGGGCCGTTTGCGTCTCGACTTCGTTTTGCGGTAGAGGCGGATTCGAGACAAAAACAAGGGAAAACGAAAACAAAACGAAAAAGAACAACGCCGTTCAGGTTCAGAAAACGGGACGAAGTGCACGCGCGCACGTCGACGCGCGCGCTTGCGGGGATCTTTCAAAAACTTTGGGTTTCGTCGGGTTTGAAAGTCGAATGTCCCGAAGCCATTTTTTGGCATGGTTTTGCAACAGCAATTTTCAAAGCAAAAACCTGCTCCCGCGCTCCTGCGAGTTCTTAAGAAAGCCACATGCTTTCCAACATTTTCAATCATTTTGGCCAAACGGGCCTCCCGCGCCGCATGTCGACATCATTCGAACGCCCTTGCGCCCTTGCGCGCGTGCTGGGGGTGGCACGATCCGTGTCAACCAATCCCATGCCGGCCATTGTTGTGCGTCGGCCGCGCGCGCATGTCGAACTCTTTCCAAAACCGTCATCACCGACGCGAGGACGCCGACATCGTCGTCGGCGTGATCAGCGTCGGCGCCTTTACTGGCCTTGCCGTTGTCGATGTCATCATTGTCACCAGCATCGCTACCACCATCATCGTGTACCATTGTCGACGTTGCCATGATATCGCGCCCGCCCAAGTCGCCGACTCGCACTGAAGTGCCCGTTGGGAAGTGCCCAGTGGTCAGCGCCACCGCGGCCGCGTCGGTCGCGCCAATCTAGCTGGCCGCTTCGCGCGCGAGCATGCGCGGGCCGGCGCGGCCTCGGGGATGCACCAGCCAACGCCGAACACTCATCGCAATCGCTGCCGCATGGGTTTTGCAAGGCAAATTGCGGGTGGGTGGGTGGGATGGTTGCACGAGCAGTGGACATGACAACGCACTGCGAACAGATATCAGTTGCACCCCATATATTTCCGCAGGCCAGAAGATGTTCCTCTTGAGCTCAGCAGGCAACACAGGTCCCCGCGGTGATTGTCGAACTTATCAACGTTATGGGGAACGTGGGTGGACGTGCGCCCGCTGTGCCGTTCGAGCTACCCAATGTTACGGGGGGGAGTATGGGAGTGGGCAGGGTCCACAATGACGATCGAGCCTTCCATGGCTTCCATTGTTCTGAAGGTGTTTTGGGAGTGGGCGAGACTTCGCAGTGGCGCTCGAGGTGGTGTTGCATATGGCGATGATGGTAAGGAGGAGGAGGAGGAGGCGGAAGAGAAAAAAGAGGAGAAGAAGGAGGACGAGGAACAAAAACGAGTCCTCATCTTCGCATAATCATAGCAGCACGTTTCACGTGCAGGGCACAATGGGTCTCATTTTCAATGGGTCCGCGAGGTGAGTTTACGCTATACAATCATTTCAACGAAATAAAAAGGAGCCATTGCTTCCCACCCTGGAGAGTGATTCCGCCAAGCGGAACATAGGATCCGCTAGATTTTCGCGAGCCCGAAACATTATCCAATCTATCCCGTTGTGTCTACACGTGCCTCTCCAATCTGTGTATGCATATTCAGAAATAAATACGTGCGCCGCTGGTGTCTTGCTTCTTGGCCTGCGTCACATGTGCCTGATTCTGGCGCTCCAGCCTCCAAGTGCGAAGGGCACCTCCACGTCAAAACCTTGAGGATCTTGGAGCCGTGGCACCTCTTCAGTCCATCTGAATACTGCCTAGAGCGGTGTTGGGGCTTTTGTTGTCCCTTACCACGTCTCCCTCGAACCATCCCCTACCTCTCCCTCGTATTCGTCCTCGTCCATCGTCCTCTCCTGCAGTTTTCATGGCTCCGTCCGCACCGCCATCCTCGTCAGCTGCTGCCGCTGGTGCTCTTTCCTTGCGCGATGAGGAGGAGGAAGAGCAGGAGGAGGAGGAGGAGGAGGAGAAGGAAGAGCAGGAAGAGGAGGCAGGAGGAGGGAGACAGGAGGAGGGGGCAGGAGAAGGGAGACAGGAGGAGGAGACAGCAATAGGAGGAGGTTTTCTAGGAATTCCTTCGGATCCCATGGGATCCCCTGGGTTCCTAAGGATCCAGTTGGATTCTGCGCTGGAGGTTTCTGTAGGACCAGCATACGACCATCCTCTTCCCTCTTATTCCTTGTCCTGCCTTTCCTCCTCTTCCTACTCGCTCCTCTTCCGCCTCCTTCTCCTCCTCCTCCTCATCCCCCTCCTCCTCCTCCTCCTCCTCCTCCTCCTCCTCCTCCTCCCCCCCTCATGATCAGGAATAGGAACATGGAGGAGGAAGAGGAGGAGGAGGAGG